GATATATAATAGCTTTTCCATTAAGAGCATGTTTTGAGTTCATATTTATTTAAATTACAATATTGTAATAAAATAATTTTACACGAACGAACGAACGAACGAATTAAAAAACCAACTAACCTACGAATGAATGAACTGTCTTAATAAGAAAAATTCAATACATAGGCTATTAGCTTTTGTATTGAATTATTCTTAAATTGTTGTGGTAATTGAAGTTGTATGTATTATCACCGACACCACGAAGTGACACAAAGCTAAAAATTCACAATTTTTCAATTTGTTTTTCTTTGACATTTCGATTATGTACATAGAACTCTACCCTTTTAGCTATTTTTTATGAGTGAAACTATATTATTTAGTTAATTAGACTAATTAGCCATAGTGCACAAACCGAGAAAAATTGTGATTGGCTAAGTAAGGCCTAGCTTGGATATAAAATGACTTTTTTCACAACGCAGGCTAGAAACAGGCATTTACGCTCCAGTATTAGCATTCCTTTAGGAGACACATTTCACAAAGTATTAACTTCCAGAATCAGATCTCAAAATCTCAATTAACTTTGATTTAAAAACTGGAAGGAATCTATCATCAATTCCCCGGGGGGTGGTTTTATTTTTGCCAGCAAAATATATTAAACAATAATACATAAAGTATTAACAGAAGTATATATGTTATACCTGTATGTCCATCAAAAAATATAAGTGTGTAATTCTTTTTTCAGGCTGCAGATAGCGTGTGTACCTGGATCATCAGTACAGGAACCAATTGCGGAGTTGACAAAGCTGTTGGTGAAGCAGTACGCGAAGGTCAAGTGATGAGCTGGATTTCAAAAAAAGAACAAGTAAGGGCCCCGATTGGTATTGGTATCACCACTTGGGGTTATGTGAAGAATTTTCAAGACCTCGTTGGAAAAAAAAACAAGGTACTTTAGGCTTACTTTATTATGAGGTGAAGGAGTGGAATTTTGTTTAGTTGTGAGAACAAATCTTGACGGTGTTCTGCCAAATTTTAGACCAAGGATTCTGGTTGGAAGAACAGCTTCTAGTCCTCAAATGATTATAATTGCAATATTAAGTTTTTTCCGGGAATTTACTAAAAGTAGAATGATAAGAAGGCCCTACATCGTTAGACAGGATAAATAAAATTAACAATACATGAACTTTTATTAAAAAAAGTGATCAGAAACTATTTTATAAAAAATATAATAACGTTCGAGCCAAAACTAATAACATGAAACATGTTATTTTAAGTTACTATTATTTATTGGAAAAATAGGTAAACACACAATGTAAAAAATAATGTAGCAATTTTACCATCAACATGGTATTTAGCACAACAAAAATAAGTGAAAATAATCCATTTTTTGAAAGATGGTCTAAAATTGAAGGTAGAAAGTCAGTTAAAACCTAAGGTATGGTCAATCGAATCAAAGACTTTATAGAAGTTTAGGAAAATAGCTGCCCCTGGGATGTTGAATGGTATTGTAATAGCGTGCGTCTATCCGTGAGGCTGTTGTCTGTCCGTGTGTCTGTTGTGTGTGTCTTAAAGACGAGTTCCGGCCCGTTGCCACCCGGCCCGTTACCACCCGGCCTTTTGCCACCCGGCCCTTTGCCACCCAGCCCTTTGCCACCCGGCCCTTTGCCACCCTAGGCCCGTTGCCACCCGGCCTTTAGTCACCATAGGCCCGTTGCCAACCAGGCCTTTTGCCACCCTAGGCCCGTTGCCACCCGGCCTTTAGCCACCATAGGCCCGTTGCCAACCAGGCCTTTTGCCACCCTAGGCCCGTTGCCACCCAGGCCCGTTGCCACCCGGCCTTTTGCCACCTTTGGCCGGGAAAGTTGAATATTTATATTATTTTTTCTTGATTAAATTTACTTTCCAGTTTAATATTTAATTATTAGTTTACTGTAGCCTATTCTATTTCAAACAATCGTCCATGCGCTTTCTTCCACTAGGAGAAAATCGCAGAAATAAACATTGTTATAAATCCGCATAAAGAGAGCAATACTGCAGTGTCTAGATATAGATATTTTTATATTTTATTTTTAAGTATATTCTTATTCTAAAATAGAAAGAAATTGCCAATGCTTTTACATTAAAAAAAAAAACACATTTATGATAATAGTTATTTATAGTATAACCACAAGCCTATATTATGTGTGTATAATGAGCTTTATGGAATTTATTTGGTATTGCTCTCTGTATGCGGACAATTTATTACAAGCATATATTCCTTCTCATGAGAAATAACCTTCAAAGATGAACTTTGGATAAAGCTCTTCTCGTTAGCGGTAAACTACAAAGTATATTACGCTCAGTAACATTAACGATCTGAGCAAACTAATCCTCCTGATTGTTTATACCGTGACTAGGGCTATTGTTCAGATTATAGGGTCTTCAAGCTTAATTTGCGTCGCCTTCAATTGGTCAGCTGGACATTTCCACCACCCATGTTTTTCTATTGGTATACCCATAGAGAAAATAGAACATAGCTATATGATCATACATTTGGCTTAATATCTTTAAAACAACAAGTTTTGGGAGGTTTATGCTCATTTCTTATAGCGGTAGCAGCATTAACATATCCAACATGTAATAGCTTATCATCGCTGTTTTCATCATTGTCACTATATTAATGTTTATTATTATTTCCACACTCAAAGGCAAGTCAATTAAATCGAATAAAAAAAATCTGTTCAATTTATAACACTACAAGAATTTTAATTCATGATGTTCTGCCTTCATAAAAAATGTAAAAAAAAGCATACACACATACACACTAACTAAAAACAGTACATACTCAGAAAACATATACATATACGTCTGGATACATACAAATAAAGATAGAACGCTAATCAGGACTACTTCACACGTGTGCCTTTCATGATGGTTAACCGCAACGAATTGTCGTGTTTACAATCTTCCAAGCAACCAATCCATTCATCATTCAGTACCGTACTCGCGCGAATAAGCGCCCCGTTTGAATAACCGCGAAAAATGTCGAAACGTGAAAATGTCCTTAAGCGTCCCGTTTGAATAAGCGCCCCTTCTAATTTGAATAAGCGCCCCTCATAAGATTTTCTTTTTAACAAGTCAATAATCCAATCAATCCTGGGACTGTGGTTGTTGGCATGACTTGAGCTGTAGAGTGGAAACACATTCTTCTTCAGTCAATATCAAAATGAGGATATTTCTCTTGGACAGATGAGAGCTCCGATCCCTGGACAGACAGTATATTTCCAACTTTACTCTTTTTACATATTTGTCTATGCCTAGTCCTACTCCTCTTTCTCTTTTTCCGACCTTTAGCACATTCTCATCTAGTTTTCAAGAAAAAATACAATGATCCTGCCATCCTGCTCATCTCAATCGGCCGATGGCCAACAAGCTAACCACTAGCATCTGCTATTTTGCTGTTATGTAAATATTCACGCATTCTTGTAATGAGCCATTTTCTCTGGACGATTATCTTTTCTAACCACCATTCGTGATGTCCTTATATAATCCTTTTTCATTCAAAAAGTGACTCTTGAATTTAAAAATTTTCCATAAGAACCCCTCGATTTCCATCTATTTCCATAAGCGCCCCCTCAATTTCCACTCCGTTTGAATAAGCGCCCCTCAGAAAGTGCAAAAAAAAAAAAAATTTAAGCGCCCAGGCGCTTATTCGCGCGAGTACGGTACACATAGTTTGGCAAAAATGCCGAGAGTAAAATTTCTGCGAATACAATGCATAGGCCTACTATACAACTATGTGTGGCAACAGGCCAGGTGGCAACGTACGGGCCAAAGATGGCGAAAGTCCGGGTGGCTAAAGGCCGGGTGGCAATTAACAGGCCTAAAATAGCAACAGGCCGGGTGGTAACGGGCCGGGAGGCAAAAGGTCAGGTGGAAACAGGCCAGGTGGCAACAGGCCAGGTGGCAACAGGCCAGGTGGCAACAGGCCTAGACCCCCTAAAGACTACTTGAGTCTGTGTGTCCCAAAGACTACTTGACCAATTTGCTTCAAATTTCCACACATTGACAATATTACGTGTATCTCGATCCTCCTTGAATTGTGCTGGTCGAAAATAAAAAGCATATTTTAGAACGTTATTTAGATATTTTTTGGTCGCAACAGAGGCTGCAAATATTGACCGATATCCTAGCTCCTTAATTCTTGAAGCTATTTTAGACTTTATTAAGCGATATATTAGATTATTTTTTTCTTCTTCAGTGGGAAAAAGAGAACAATGTAATTTTCATAAGAATGGATGAATAAAGAGTTGTCTGCTGTATAATTCTATGTAATTGTATATTGTTCCAATACAACATTTTGTGACTATTTTAGTAATCGTAAAAACGATTAATTTAATTCAATGTTTGATTCTTTTTACTGGGAGTGTGCTTAGTAGAAATCTACTGTTTACCCACATCGCCTAGTTACACCTTTTGAATGTTTTGGACTTGTTCAGTGGTGAGTAAAATTCATTTTGTCACAGAAATCGAAACCCATAAACCTGGGATTTGAAGAAAAGCACCTTACCCACTAAGCAGTTCAGCTCTACTTCAAAATTACTTACCAAATTACTTTTCGTTACAGGGACAGGGATGTTACCCAGCTAAATACTATGTATTCCCCGCTGTGCAGCTTGATAAGCCTGTCTCCCTGGATCCACATCATACTCACTTCTTGTTGGTGGATGATGGAACAATCTTCCCCCATGGTAGAGACATGCCTGGTTGTGACATAGCGTTTCGTGCAAAACTTGAGCAGGCTATGATAACACCAAGATCTGCTCAAAATGGACTTGGTAATTTTTATGTTTTGTGCTCATTTTATATAACAATTTAATTTAAGATCTAATTTTAATGATGAATCCATTAATGCAGTATTTCGTTAAAAAAAATAGAGACTACTCACATTCATAAGAGTAATTCTGAGACCCCTCTAATTTAAAACCACTTTTTCTGTTTCGTATAAATAAAAACTAACCCTCTAATTGGAGACCGAATCCAAAGACCACCCAGAATTTTTAATATGGAAAAGCTGTCCTATTTGTTCCACAAGGTCACATTTTTTTTGCTTTAACCATTGGAGAAAGTGATAGTTTTTGTCAGAAAAGTACGTTTTTTAGTAGAGTGATATTTTGAAAGTGTGAAAAATAAAATTTAAAAAAATGTGTATTTTCGCTGGACTCCGCCGTTTTATGCATATCCGACCAGTTTGCCAGAGCCCAGTTTGACGAGTCCACTTTGCCGAATACCAGTTTACCGATCCATAGTCATGACAACCAAGTTTGTCGGATTTCGCCGTTACCGTCGTACAGAAAGGCAACAGCACTGTGCTTTTGAAAACATGATGAGTGGGTCAGGGAGGAACCGTATTTATATAAATATAAATTAAAAGGCAAAATACTGGAAAACAACAATGCCATGGGAAACATATATTTGAAGGCATGGCTATCAATTAGAATTAAAATAAAATGAAATTAATTATTATATATTCTTTAAAGAATCTTACAGAAAACATAAAAAGGATCTTAAAGTATGTAACGAAAAATCTATAAGATCCCTATATAATTTTTTTCTATTTTGAAAAGGAAAATCACAGGAAATTCACTGTCTTTAATTGTTTCAAGTTTACTTCTCTTTCTCACTCACAATCCGTTTCTTTTTTGTTTGAAACGGCCCAAACGAATTCATGGAGCAAAGTGTATAAGCTCGAGTATAAACAGCTCCGTAGCCAAGGGGGTGGGCAGGGGTCTCAATTTGACATAATGTCGTTTAATTTCTTTTTAATTAGATAAAATAAGTTTGTGTGCACTTTAGTAGGAAATAGAAAGAGATGTTGACCAGACTGTCAACACCCACACCTAAGCCCCTACTATGGCTGCAGTGAGGCGAAAAACAATCAGGATGGCGCAGTTTTTAATGCCGGATATAGCATTCTAAGACTTAATATACCGTATTTATTCGAATAACGACCAGGGCGATTATTGTTGAGAAGGGCTTTTGAGTGTACATTTATTCGAAGGAGGCGTTTATTAGAAAGAGGCATTTATTAAATGGATACGTATATACTCAAATAGACGCCCCTAACTTTCGCTGTAAATGTGGAACAACAATTTACCGTCAAATGTGTTATTGCCTGATCATAAAGACCTATTGATCCTAACCAGGTTAGAATATTAAAACTTTACATACTTGATTTTATATCTTGGTGTGTGCAATTCGGGATCGGCCGCTATCAGAGGTATAATTTGTTCACCTGTTGGCCTTTTCCCGTCACCGGCAATCTTTTATTTCATTGATATTTTATTGTATCTTTGCTTTTGTAAAGTCAAATAAATGAAATAAATAAATTTAAAAAAAATGTAATTCTAGGAGTGGCACATTAATAGTTTTTGTTGAGCATGAAAGCGCTTCCATTAGATGTTTTTACAGTCATTTTGGTGGGTATTTATTTGAGGAAAAAATAAAGCCCCAGGGGAGTTTATTCGAGCGAGGCTTTATTCCTAATGAATTTTTTTTTTTGGTTGGGGGGGGGATCGATTTTTAAAAGAGGGGTGTTTATTTGAATAAATACAATATGTGTGTTATTTATATTTGCAAACCATCCTTTAGAGACCAACCTAAAAATACCCGTGGTGAAAGTTTGCATTGAGGGTGGCATGGACACCATTCTAGCCACAAAAGAGGCTGTTGTCGTCAAGATTCCTGTTGTCGTTTGCGAGGGTACCGGAGGAGCAGCGGACTTAATAGCTCTTGCAAAAAAGTATGTAGTACCATTGAGTATGTTTGATAAGATAATGACTATTATTGTTTAAGGGCTTGCATGGCGAAATAATAGCATATTAAATGCTCGAAGTACAACACGTTGATAGTTCTGAAAACAACTGAAATTTTTGTTGAGAATATCTCGACGTTTCGATTGTTTTACTTTAGTCGTCATCGGAAGAATAATTATCTGCAGAAAGTCTAAACAGGCAAATATTTATATGATTGGAAAGTGAGACTTGCTGCTGATTGGTTTAAAACTAAACAATAACTTTGTATGACATTCCAATCATAAGTATTTCCCTGCATTAAATACATTAAATGACACTACCACTGTTTTAGGTTCCATGTCTTCAAAGTAAATGGAAACTTCCTGTAGCACCGAATAATTTGCACTGAGTGCAAGATATGGGTTGCTCAAAATTGCAGGTGTTAATAACGGCTGTACAGGATGAAAACTTTATAATACTAAATAATAATAAGTAGGTTTTTATATAACGCTTTACACAACCAAGTCTTAGAGCACTTATCCACATAATTACCTTGCTATTGGAACGATACCTATAGGAAAAATTCATAGTTTGTAGCATGAAATATATCAGCGCCTAGACTAAGGACACAAGTTAAATGAACAGCGAGAAATTGAAGCCCAGACCTTGACGTTGGGAAACCAAAAGTTTCCCGCTCTGCCAAACCACTTCTTTATGCAAAATAAAATTAACTGTTAGTTTCAGGTGCGAGATTTGAAAAAAAATTTATCTATCCTGTACTTAGCTAAAATTTTTAATGCAAAAAATCTAAATATAAATTTAACAATCATTTTTCTGTTTTCTATAGTGGGAAAATCGAAGATTTTAATATTAAAGAAGAAATAAAAAGAGTGTTTCACATCAGTGAAGATCATTCTATGATACCAAAGCTAATAGAAGCTCTCAATTTTATCGCGCAACATGGATCAATGGTGAGCTATACACACTGAGATAGTTTGTCAACAGTCTGTATTAAAGCTACGTTTTATTTATGGTTAAGAGAGCCAATCGTAAAATTCACATGTTACATCACAAGGTTCCTCATAAAGACCTTTTCGCCGGATATGACTGCTGTAAAACTGACGTTAGAATATGCGGCTCACGAATAAACATATTTGAATAGAAATACAAAACAAAGCATTTAAAATGATCATGGGTGCTTCATATATAAATTATGAGAATGCACTTTCCTTTTTTAATACAGTGACCCTGGCCGTAAAATGCCAGAAAATATGTTATGACTTTCCAAACAGATTAACAAATCCAACTGCCCCCATGCCATTACCTCTTATTAGATCCTATTGATTAATGAATCTAAGAAGGAGAAATGAAAACCCACAAGTTAAGTGCAGGAATGCAAATTTTATATCTTTAATTGCAATATTGATAAAATAATAATTGTGCAATAATATTTGAATGAATTATTGTAATATTGTTACTGTTGTTGTTATTGCTATTGTTATTGTTGTTATTTTTATTGTTGTTATTATTGTTATATTTATAGGCCAAAAAAAAGACTATTGTAAATACAATCACTATTCAACATTGTTGCCAATAAATATTGTACTTCGAATTGAATTAATTGTTTATCTATTGCAATCACACTATTTGCCAACTGGTCAACGGTGAGTCCCCTCAACATGATTTGATTTATTTTTAATAGATAACAGTCTTCAACATGTCTGATGATGAGCAAGTAGGTTTGGATTTCGCATTATTCAAAGCTCTGCTCAAATGTAAGTGTAGTAATTTTGGCTCTTCTTGTTTAGTGTCCAAACAAATTCACAGATCAGCTCACTGGATTATTAAAAATTCTCCCTGTTTCCTATTTTTACATTGTTTACAAGTCCACTACCTTGGTTATTGACAATCTTCACTGTTCGCTATGGTGAACAATTTTCACAATAGGGTCCATGATGATTAAAAATCTTCACTTTGCATACATTCTCCTAATACTGTATCATCCACGTTTAATAGAATCTTCCCAAATCACCAATAATCATGTTATTTAAAATTCCTTAGGATAAGATCACTCACGTGTCACGAAACATCATCTTCTGTACCATGTCTTCATTCTCTTCACTCATAATTCTAGGCAAGCCAGTGCCCTTCAAAATCCAGTTGCAGTTGACCATGTCATGGAACAGAGTTGATGTTGCTAAGAGTATTTTTGAAGGCCACACTGGATTGCTAGTAAGTGTATCAAAGTTATCTGAACTGAACCAAATGACCGTACTCTGATAGTTAATAAGTTAAATTGCATAGTTGCTTGTGGATGTCTCTTGATTTACAAAAGCTACCCCAGGCCATAAAATGTCTTCTCTTTATTTTATGAAGGTAAAAGTGTTTAATAAGTTTCTTTTAGTGACCCTCTCAATATAGGGAACAGTGAAATTCACTGTTTCCCATGGTATATCCATGTGGGTTTTGGTCGTCCTCTTGGTTGCCTGACTTTTTCCATTGATTTGGAAGGAGCCCTTTGTGCTGGAATGTTAGGGTGTAGACGAAGGAGATGTCCACACCAGGTCAGACGTCTTCTGTTTATTACTCTTCTTCAGTTCTCCTCATTTGTTAGTGTGTAAAAGTTGTCATTTGTTGTTATATCTGGCCATTTTGATTCCTACGCCCTTTCCCGTAACTCTATGCCATGTATTGTATCAAGTTTACAAGCCAAAGCATTTGCAGTTTTTTCAGTCTTGATTGATTAATGTTGAGGCTATATTTTTTAAGATGGTCTGGAATATTGCTTCTGACATGGGTGATAAGGTCTAAAGAATTATATGTAAATGCATTATCATCAGCATATTGTTGATCAATGATAAATATAGTAGTTTTAATGTCTTGCTGATAATGTTGTGATTTATTATTTTGCACAAGCGAGGTAAACTGTAAAGAGGATTGAGCTCAAGCAAATGCATTGAGGCTTACCAATATTGCTATATATTTTCTTTATTAATTCACATCCCTCAAATATAGAATAATATATATGACTAATTAATGCTTAGTAGATTTATGTATTTTTTTTAGCTTGATGATGTTTATGAATTTGTGACCAAATCATTGAGGGAGAACAGAGTCTATTTCCTTAAACTGTTTTTAGAAAAGGGTGTCATCATGAACAAATATCTAACAGTTGAAATGCTAAGTGACTTGTATAAAAACGAACAAGAAAATAACAAATATGTCCGGAAGCTAGTTAGAGAAGTTGGAAATTCTCGTGAACTGGTAAGATCACACTACCAAGCATTTATAATACTTTTTTTTCAAATACAGTAAATTGTTATTCCGATGATGTTTTGTCTTATCTGACATGTTATCGTACTGAATGCTCAGTAGTTCCCAAATACATTCAAACAAATCTAGCAAGTATTTCAGGTGTGAATCTACTCACTACGAACCTCCAGATACCAAACCTGGTGTTATATAGCTTAGATCACCGAGCTTGCGTTTATTGCCTTGAATCCAATCATTGAACATGTCAGGTAGACCAGAACATCATTCCTATTAAAACACCATCGGAAAAGCATTTCAGTACCAGCTGCTAGTCGAGAGTATTTGGGAACGTACTGAGCATTCAGTACTATAATCTAGGGAAAAACATCATTTCTAAATAAATTGTTAGTATTAAACTTCCATTTCTTGAAAACCTACTTTAATGTAACATTGTTCCTGAAACGGAAACGCCATCGAAAATAGTAGAACTGCTATCCCATTACGTCGCTCATGCATACATACTGACTACATGGTGTGCGTCCTCATTTTTTATTGCCATATGTAACAATAATAACGTAAAGAAAATGTTTCTTAACTAACTGAGCGAGATAGCATGCAACCAAACGTAAAGAAAATGTTTCTTTACTAACTGAGCGAGATAGCATGCAACATGCAACCTATCTTCTTTTAGTGATCCTATTGCTCTTTTATCGAAACCAATCTCGACGTTCACACACTAGAGGGTAAGCGAGCGAAGTGAGCGCACCCTTTAATTTAAAAATTATAAACATTAAAAAAACAATTAAATAGGTGGCCAGTTAATGTTTTAAATTGTAATAATTTCTGATGAAATTGGTTAGTTGTCTAAAATCTAATAGTTCAAGTCACATAATTTGAATCTCTTTGAGGCTTACTATAGAAAATACATCTAAAGCGTATTTGTGCTGTTACTAAAGGCTGTTTTTTGTTGGGGGTCATTTGTAGTCTAATATCCTCCATGTAAACACTGGTATTAAGGCAACCACCCTTTTCACTGATTTCTTCTTTCAGAATTCTGTTATTCTTGATCACGTTTCGTCAATAATTCGGTCATTAACAGGAGCACCCTTATACCAGATTAACGAAAGTGAACTTAAAGGAGAGTTGGAGCGCCCTTTTACAGATTTGTTTTTGTGGGCAATTTTAGGAAGCAGGTGGGAAAATGATTTATACAATAACTTTGGAACATGTTTTTTACTTGCTGCATACAATGAAAGACATGGAAACACAGTAAAAAGCAATTAAATATATGAAAAACATTGAAAACAACAAACGGATACAATATAATAATAATGTACTTATCTAATAAAACTATTATCTGGCAAATATATCATTAGGTTTATGGGTAGCATTGATTATGAATGAATTTCCGTGTCTATTTCTATTAATGTTATTCTCCGCCTGATAAGTGATAAACTTTTTTTTTTCTAATTATATTAGAATGGATCTGGCAGAGTTCCTCTGGGAGGGTATTGAGGACCAAGTGTGTTCAGCTATTGTTGCTTTACGAATGTTCCTTTCCATGTCAGAAAAGGAGAAAGATCCTAATGTTCAGCTAAAGCTTCTGGACAACTCTAGGTAGGTATACACAAAAGAAAGTGAAGCAAACAAGGCATGTAGTGCTAATGCAATCAAATCAGTGACGTTATTGTTTCAGTCTGAAGAGGGCAGCTTAGTTTAATTTGATGGTAAAACACTGTGAGTTTGAAGACTATGAAGATCTTTTACGATTGTGTTAGCTGGTTCAATTCCATTGCTTCTATGCATTTCAGCTGGAGGGCTGGAATACAATTTATAAATGGATACCGTTTTTTTGAAAAAGACAAATTAACGACCATCAGATATGACTAATATAGAAAAATCTCTTTCCTCAATAATATTTATCTATTAATCTGGACATTGTTCCTCAGGATTAGACCTCGCAAAACAACTCCTATAAAGGAAATGGATGTAAGCAAATAATGAATAATTATAGACCCACTGTGGTTTGCCTTATTTAAAAATTGTTGAAAGAATAATACAAAATCAAATAGAATTAATCCTTTTACGCTACGCAGTAATAGCGTAGCCTCCCACAGTGCAATTTTTCTCCAGTATAAAATTCTAAAAACTATGTTAAAACATAAAACGTTAAAATCTTTCTGAAAACGTATAAGCATGTTTAATAATAAGCGTTTAGGATGAGTATTATGGCTGAATGGGGTGGGGAGGAGGGAAATGTTTCCCAGTCTTCTCCCCTTCAGCCACCACTGACCAGTGGCGTATCTCATCATCATCATCATGAACTAGCTATTTCTCTCCACCACTGCAGGAGGAAAGCCTCTTCATCGACTTGCCATTCTTCTCTGTTCTGTCCTCCTCCCCTCCATTAATGCATTTGAATTCTTGTATTTCACCCATCCACCTTCTTTTCTGTCTGCCTCTCCTCCTGACTCGATTTCTTGGCACCCAATCCATTACTTTTCGTGTCCATCTATTATCCTTCTTTCTTGCTATGTGTCCTGCCCATCTCCATTTCCTCTTCTTTATTTCTTGTATTATGTCATTCACTTTTCTAGCCTTTCTTACATCTTCATTTCTGACTTTGTCTTTGCTTGTGATTCCCATCATTGTACCCAAGTTTTCCCAATTTTACCCATGCTAACTGGATTTTTCTCTTTACTTCTGCAGTGGTGTCATCCTCTATCCTTATCTTCTTGCCCAAGTATACATAACAGTCTACATTTTCAATTGTCTTTCCATCTAGTGTTATGGTACTACCTGCTACTACCTCTTTACTGAACATAACCTTGGTTTTACTGACGTTGATGTTTAGATGTTTGGTCTAGCTTTTTTGCTTTCTTCGCTCAATTCCTGTAGCATTATCCGAAGCTCTTCTGGATTGTGACTAAATAATAAGATGTCATCGGCAAATCTTAGATTGTTTAGGTATTTCACCGTTCACCACTATTACCTTAGCATTCCAATCCAGTTTTCTAAAAAGATGTTCTCCATCACTGCAGTAAACAGCTTTGGTGAAGATTGGATCTCCATGCCTTACTGTTCATATCGATGTGTACTCTTACACAAGCTTCAGTGGCGTATCTACTAGCTTTAAATTGGTGTGGTGGGGAGGGGGGGTGCTGATAGGGAACACGACGGTGAAGCTCTAAGATTAGGTGAAGGGCACTGTCTCATTTTTAAGTACTGGAGCTTGATTATTGGGGACAACTGTTAGGCCTAGAAATCCGTCAGCAGATTTCGGAAAATAAGGGCCGTTTTCCAAGCAGATTATGCCGAAAATTAAGATTTGACATATTTATTAACCCCAATGTTATTCAACTCTTACCCACTTTAGTGAACCTTTGCCCAAATAAACTTGTGTCTAACATTATCTAACTCGTACACCTGTGTATTTACCTTTACTTTAGCGTAATAAAACAAAATCTAATATTAAATTCATCTTTCTATATATAAACAAAATCTGATTTTTGAAATACTAATTTTGCACGAATTGAACAACACTTAAAGGCCTCTTACGGCTCTGTCACTAGTACATCCAAGTTATAGTTTTCACGACGACGGTCAAGAAATTATGAGCCAATTAAAACCCTGGGCTTTTCTTTTTTAAAGCTTTAAGATGGGATTCTTTTGCAAAGTAAAAATAGGGGCTTTTTTCAAAATGAATGCTGTAAATTTTGGGAATTACTACTATAAAACAATAATTAACGCCTCTGTAACATTAATTTGTACATGGAGTGTACTAAGCGGCCCCTATTTTGCATATTTTAAGCTAATTTCTATTTCGCCCTGGATACAGATTTTGGCACACATCCCATGTTGTTCCTTGGGCTCAAATTAGTCTATATCAGCTGAGATATTCTCCCCTAAATTAAGTGCATACAAATCTTAGTCTACATAAAGTGGCAGAAGCACTTAATCAATCTCTTTTGAAATTATTCTTGATAAAAAGTACAATCCAACCCTCTATGAAATACGCAATCTCAGTTTATTTTATTAAGGTTACAAAAGCGTGCTCCTAGAATATTTTAAAAAATAATCTGATTTTAAAAATAATCGTGGGATTTATCTTATTAAACAAAATAATAAGAAACTTCTTAATGAACGTAGATATTAAAATACATTATAAAAAACACTTTCTCGATAATTTTTGTCGATAATGCCCGTGGTGTTGCCCAGATGACAATACCAAGTACGCAGCACAGCTATTTTTTTTTTGTATGTTGTTTTTTAGGTTGTATAGTTGTTACCATCGCATCTCTATGTGTTATCCTGCCTATATACGTTAATATGAATGAAGAATGAAATAAATAGTTGGTGCTATCATTCTGATGTGCCATGTGTTTTGTGAAGCCAAAACTATTATTATTATTATTATTATTATTATTATTATTATTATTATTATTATTATTATTATTATTATTATCAACTCATTGATCCATTTAATTATCGTTTTACAGAAAATTTGAAATGCTTGCTGTCAATCTCATTGATGAGTGTTTTGAAACGAATGAAAAGCTAGCTCAAAGGATGGTAAGGATCCCTCATCAGCTGTGGAGTGGCATGAACACCCTACAAATAGCTGCCGACTCAAAATCCGAGGATTTCATTTCACGTCCCTGTGCTCAGGCTGCCCTAAAAAATGTGTGGATGGACGGGATAGGTTGTTCATCGTGGAAGGTATTGCTGGCTTTGATTTTTCCTCCGTTGCTGCTCGTAATTTTCTACGAAAAGGATTGTGCGCCTAAAAGTACTTCAGATAAAGTACTAAGATTTTATAATGCACCTGTATCAAAGTATTTCGGCGGATTGGTAAGATAAACTTTCATTTAGAATACAGACTTTTTTTTAGCCCTCCAGACATTTTTTCTGACCCAGACACATTCTCCAGCCCTCAAGACATCTATCAATATATCTATTTATCACTCAATCTTACCATCCAACTATCTATTTATTTTTACCTTCTTTCATTCATATATTCATCCATCTAATCATTTATTTATTCCTTCATTATTTCATTCATTCATCTTCTTTTTCTGTATTAATCCATCCACCAATGCATATCTATTTTTCTATCCATCCATCTATTTATTTACCTATCGATCTATATATTTACTCAGTTTTGCATGCAACTAAGCAACCGTCTTTCCTTCTAACCATCCACCCATCTATTTATCCATCCTTTTATTTACCCGACCATTTTTAATCATCCATCCATGTGTATACATTTAGTGTACTTTGTTAATGTTGGGTTCCTGAGTTGTTGAGACATTATTGAGACAGGCAGACACAAGACATTCAGCAATGTAACTTGTTTATTCAGAATCCTTGCTGGTATTGTGGGGCGGTTCCATGATGCGTGCGTGTCTATCTGCACAGCTGACTGACATCACAAAGTGACGTATCACAATATCCCCCTCCTTCCAAAAACAGTTAATTTTTTTTATCGCTTAAATAGCTTTAAAATTTAAACAGTATGTATTGACTAATGCTTTAAATACCTATGCATAGTTCATATCGTAATGAAAGATCTTTAACTTTATAAACATTAACTTCATAAACAATCATTCATAATCACACTGTTATATATCTTTATAGTTAAAGTAATTAAACATATTTAACTTCGTAAACATTAATTTTCTAAACATATTTTTGAACATTCTCTATATTCAATTACTCTAATTATTTCTTATTCTTATTCATTTAATGCCAAACAAACCCATAACATAACAATTATACAGAAAATGAAAAGAAAAGATTGACTGAGCTGATTGACAGGGATACAAAATTGAACTAAATCATTTTAACAACAAGTCTGTCTCCTTCATCAATCCAGTCTTACATAAAAATAAGCATATATAATAAATACAATTAAATTGTCAGCCATGTTTCTGTTATAACTAATATATCAATTTCATGAACAACTATGTATGCAGATAGTTCAATCGATTTATGTGTTATGCTTCTGCCATTTAGTGTGATCGCTGTAAGTTGATTGGTATCCGAATTATTTTTAGTGTTGCCATGTTCAACAGAATCCACTGTCGCGCCAGGGTTGGTTTCAGTTTCCAGGTGCGCTAAAAGCTGCTTGGAATCCCTTGAATTCCGGGACATCCCGTGGATCGGTTCCATGATGCATGCTTGTCTATATCTACAACTGACCAAGGTCACAGCGTGACGTATCCAACAGCATAGAGAAATTTTAACAACTAGAGTGCTGACTAATTATTATTATCATAAAATTTACATCAATATTTTTACTTATATACTAATTGTAAAAAGAGGTAATTAACTTTTTTTTCAGATCACATATGTGCTGTGGCTATTCCTGTTTAGCTATGTGTTAATATTCAATTTTGAATCGAGGCCTTCATTCTGGGAAAATATACTATTTGGTTGGATTTGCACTCTTATCATCGAAGAAATTCGACAAGTAAAACAATGTTGTGCTTTCTTTATACTGTACACAAAATTAACATTACAGTCTGTCTAAAACAATTAAACAAAATCTGGATATTCAGTTGGTATTCCTAGTGCCACCACTACCAATATCACTATTGATTTGTGTCGTATACCTTTATCATGAATAATTAGATAAACATATGAAAACAATTGAACCATATTCCAAGACGGTAGCCTGTCCAGTAAAGATAATCATTAAGGCCCTCGATAATAAAACAGTAGTGGGCACCAGGATGTGCACGACAGGGACCGATGTTCACGATAATTTCACCGACTGGAGCATCAGTGAATATCTTCCCAGAAGCTCTCAAACGGGGTCCAGGGTGCAAAGCTCCTTGAAACTCTAATAATATAGGAATTTGAAATGCTTAGATTTACTGGATTTTAGTCTCAAATTCTGTAAAATGTACATAAATTGTTTCCTCCCCGACGAATTGTGGGGTTTTCCCAACGGGGGTGGGGGCTGTCCAGTGGTGGCGCCAGAGGGGGCCTTGGGGGCTATAGCCCCCACCCCCGTCGGGGAACGAACAAATAAAAAAAAATATTTACATATTCGTTTAGCCACCATACTGTTTGTGTTAATTTTTCATCACAACAACAACAACAACAATAAAAAAAAATAATAATAATAATAATAACAATAATAATAATAATAATAATAATTAAATGAGACTAATTAAAAATAACTTGCGTTCTGTTATGACAAATGCTCATTTAGATAGCCTCATGATGGTTGGAATATATCGTGATAGGTGAAGCAACTTCGACCATGACAGTGTGGTTGACAGATTTCATGCAAAATTTCCAAAATATAGAATTTCGCTTTCAAGAATGAGGATTTGAAAATAAATTAGATGGTTACATCGCATACTCTTTGTTTCTCGCTTTTATTCAATTTTTTTTGGTTTTGGAAGCTGATTTCAACATTAGAAAGCATAGCCTACATGAAGTCATATTATAGTAACTCGATGTCCATCAAATAACTAATAAAAATTCGCCATAATTCATCAAATATCCGTGGCTTCCATGGGGCTTCGCCCCCTGGACCACCACCGGGGGCCCGAGGCGGCCCCCTGGCCCCACCCAACTGAGACTCGATTCGCTCCACTAGCCCTCCCGTCGGGGCCTTTAGCCCCTCCGTCGGGCAGGTCCTGGCGCCACCACTGGGGCTGTCCCTGGCAAGGGCTCTAACAACTCGCCTCTACTGGCGCCACCACTAAATAAAATACATCACATACAAAATAAAACTGTAAAGTAGAACAGAAATATCATGAGCAAAAATATAAAAATCATTCAAAAATACATAACTACATTGTAGAACAGAAATACAGACACTAGAATAACTTAAAAAGAAAGATGAATACCAAATTTATTGTTTTATCTAAATTTTTTATATATTTCTGCTTAATATTTTCCATTTAGTTTGTGATACTAAAAAAGTTTGAAACTTGCTATAAGAAGGTACATCAATGGATGCGTAGCGATTGGAAATGGGTTAACGTTCTAATGTTGACCCTTGCCTGTGTGGGTTATGGATTACACTGGAGTTCAAGAATGACAGAAATTGCGAAAGGGTTCTTCTGTGCTAGCTGCTTCTTATCCTATGTCAGATTGCTTAGGATTTATGCTGTTAATAACTATCTTGGCCCAAAAATTGTTATGATAAAGCAAATGGCTGTCTCTTATA